GGCCTCATCTAAGCCATTGAAGGCCTCAGCAGAACAGTCAGACTGACAACTGAGCCGGAAGAATGCCTTTTAGTGTGCTGCCCTAAGCTTGATACTGGTCTTTCCTGCTTTCAGACCCCCAGGTAAATATTGGCTCTTCATTAGGGCTAAGCTGCCAGCCTCCAGCCTACAACTAATACCACTAGCCTAGAAGTAAATCAACAGTTTACCTGGGTCTCCAACCTATTAACTCCAGGTGTTGGAACTTCCTTGCCTCCGTAACTGTGTAAACTAGATCATCAAATGTTCAAATGTATATATGGTTATATCTCTTACCATCTCTTTCTCGTGTGTGTGTGTGTGTGTGTGTGTGTGTGTGAGTGTGTGTTCATTCTGATGGTACTTCTACCCTTGAGAACCCTGAATATCATGTACATCATTAGGACTGTTGTTTAATGTGGGCTAATATGGGGCAAGTAGGAGACTAACACTGAAACTCAGACAAGCAGTGATGGTGGCTTAGTGTATGAAGGTAACAGTAAAGTGGAAACAGTGAGAGCATCCAAGAGCTATGTGGGAGTGCAAGCTGATGGAACTTGGGGTGGTTTGGAAATGGGGTGAAGAAGTAAGAGAAAAGAAGGTGCTGAGGTTTCCCAGGACTTGGCTCTGCCTGTAATTGGATAATGGCACTTTTTACTAGAATTTTAGAAAAGCACAGGTTTGTATGGAGCTGAGTTCATACTGATGAGAACAAGCAGGATGGCAAACCTCAGAGAAAAGCTTAGAGCAGGAGGTATAAATGAGGTATAGGGTGAGGTGATAGTGTAGGGACAATAACAAAGAATGTAACAGATTGAACCAGAGACCGGCCAGAAATGGAGGCCAGAAGGACACCCCTCCTGTACAGCTTTACAAGTTTGGCAGAGGAGGATAAGACTACAAAGAAAGATGAAGAGAAGGGAGGAGAGTGCACAGGAAGATTTGGTTTCATACAAGCAAGCACAAAACTGCATCAAGCTGGAGACAGTAGAATGTCAAATATTACTGCAAGGTCAAGCAAGATGAGAAGGGAAAAAATGGCCCTGGGTTATGAAATCACTGGGGAAGTCATCTGGCACCCCGGAGGTCTCAGATCCCCAAAACAAGCACTTTCATGTCTCCTTGCTGTCTTTGAAGCAAGATCCCTCAGGAAACAGAGTGCTCTGGAGAGTTCTCTAGCTCACAACAGCCCTTGGCCACACCTGTCAGCACAAGAGGAAGTGACATTTGACTACAGCTTGGTATTCTCCTCCCCACAGCCTGATGCCTGGGTCTGCCTTTCAAGCAGCCAAAGACTTTTCCAAAGAGTAACCCAGGAATATTCCAGCTGACATTCAGAAGTGCATGGTAATTCAGATGGAAATGAATCCCCTGGAATTGGCCTGGAAAATTATAGTAGAGATGAAACAACTTTAATAAGGGTGTTTATCTGTAGGGACATCTCTCTATACTACAAATGCATGAGACTTCAAAAACTGGGGATATGGATGGATTGTCCTTTCAGAGAAGACAAAGTCCTGGGAGGCCTTATACTAGGGAGACGCCTGCTCATGGTTTGCTTCCAGATTTTTTCTACTTCTTTGGACTTGGGTTTATCTTTGTCTCTCCTTTGTTCTTCCTCCTTTTTTTCTTTTTCTCTGTTCATTCAGAGAGGTTGAACAATCATTTCACATATTACCATTCCTGATCTTGTATCATCTGACAAGTGATGGTCATAAAGTCTCAATTCATCTCCTCTATACTGCAGTTCATGCCTCTGAATACACACCTGGAAACACTGTGATCTAAATGGGTACAGGGGACAGTAGGATGAGGATAACAATTAGTTGTTCCAGCTCAGTACTAGACACATCTATCCACTGATTTATTTTCTTATACAGATGACACAACCACCCTGCTTGCAAATATGGAGACTCTCTCAGAGAATGAATCAATTTGTCTATGTTCACATAGGTGAGCAAATGTATCCCTGTGATTTTAACGAGGGCCCAGGTGACTATGAAACTTTATTTTATTCCCAAATGAAATACATTATTCATGAATGAATTTATAAACATACAATCATAACTGAAGATTCAATATCAATGTCACAGATAAGTAGAGAATGAAGATATCAAGGCAAGTGATGAAATAAAGTCCCACTGAGGGGAGGAGAGGAATACAGAAACAAGTTTTGCAAGTATAATTCGGGCACAACACACTCTGAATGTCATGTGGGCTTGGAGAAAGACAGGTGAGCACAGGTGATGGTTATAGGAACCTGACAGGCTGGGAAGTTTGCATGCTAACCTTGCCTAGGAATCCTAGCTTCCAGGATGACTTCAGATGCTTAATTGCCTTTAGGGCCTATTTTTTTCTGGATTAGGGTTAGTTCAGATACCACTTTATTGACCTTCCTAGTCCTCCAGGCTCCTTCAGCCTGACAGAAGCTAAAGTCCTCATCTGGTGATAGATAAACTCTTTCTACCTGGCTAGATCTTTCCAATCATCTTTGGCATGTCCAGGGGACATTATTATGGCTGTTAAGTTTCCCCTATCACAGGGAAGAAAATTCTCAGTCCCTTTTTGTTTCTATAGAAGTCAGTGCTAACTATGCTGAATTCTTCTCCCAGTGCCATTCCTCAGATGGGAAGGACTAGCATATAAGATCTATAGGCCTGAAAAGGGTTGTGACATTTACTTCCGATGGCAGGAGATATTGACTATAGCAAAGGCAGCTCTAGGCCCAGGTTGGGATTCAGTCCCCAAGGCCCTCACTGATGAATATGTGGTACAGAGATCCCACTTTCTCTTCCCCCTTCCATAAAGGGAGGTGTGTATACTCATTCCTTCTTTGATTCCTGGGGTAGATGGTAGGATAAGAGGGTGGACACCCATCAACTGTAGAGAACTATGACTTCTATTACAAAGAATGTGACTCTCTTCAACAAAGAAGCCTAGGCCCTGAAAGCAATCTAGGATAGAGATGCGATGACATTTAGCATCACAGTAGTGTCCCAGGCCTTGAATGTGTCACGAAGCAAATTAGTTCAGTGGCCACAGCAAGAGAGAGTTTTTATAAACATAACCTAATTGCATTACTTCAAAGTCCTGAAGCTTATTGCCCTGCTTAATGATGTGTCACATTATTTATAGGGTGGTGCAATGAGACTTCTATTGATTTAATTCACTTCCTTAAAGACTGTCATTGTCACAGCCATAAAACCGAGCTATTCCCTGACAACTCAATTATGTCCTCTGAGCCTATAAACCACCATGCCCCACTCAGTTGCACATAGGAAGCAGGCAGGGGTGCAAACGCAGCTAGGGATGCAAAACCCTCAGAGGCAGAACAAAAGGCTATAGATATGGCCAAGTGGCCAAGGTATATAAGGGGTTCCATCTCACCAGACATAGTTGGCGGCTGGCAGGCACTGAACGATGGCATGAAGCAACTTAGTTTTGCCTTGGCCCTGACACATGGAGCTGTGTGGCTTAGCACAGAAGTCCTTCTCCCATCAAGCTTTAATTTCCCCAGTGGCAAAATGGAGAACTGAGTTCAGTGAGAATTCCAAGGTCTGGTGTTCTGTGGTTTATAGTAATGACTTACAGGGATGCTAGAGCTAGAGTAGTTAGGTCTTGTAGAGAAGGTGTAAGCAGGTTTGTATTATCAATCGTCACCTTTTCTAACAATCAGTGATATTAACTATAATAGAAAGCACTTAATATATCTGGAAAAAGATACTGGAAGGAAGGAAAGAAGGAAATGAAGGAAGGAAGGGAGGGAGGAAGGAAGGATGAAATCTAAAAGAAAATGGTTTTTGTAGCTAGCCGGTTCCAACTATGGGTTCCATCATGGGCCCTGCTATTCATCAGCTATGTCTCTGTGGGCACTTGCCTCAACATGTTTGAGACTGGGTTTCTCGAGTGTGAGACTCCATTTCTCATATTAATATATATGTATACTGTCTGGGAGATATCTTAGTGGTAAAGTGCTTGCTGTACAATAAGAAAGTATGGAGACCAGCTTTTGGATTCTTAGCACCCATATAAATACTGGGCAGACACAGCAGGCTGTTTATAATCCAGCATATGGAGGGTGGAAAACAGGAGGTGCCCAAGTAAATTGGCTAGCTAGTTTATATGGATAAGTGAACTTGGGTTCAAGTGAGAGATGCTGTCTCGATGGAGCAGCATCTCAGTGCAGAGTGATGGAGGAAAACTCCTGATGTCAGCCTTGTGCCTTCATACATGAATACATATTTACACATCCATATGCACACATGTACACTCATGTGAACACACATGTACCACACAAATACATATGAAAAAGTAAAATATACATTTACATAATCTGCTATTTTCACTTTGGTAAAGTGCTAGAGTGTAAATGACCTCCCCTTTACCTGTGGTAGGTAAATAGGAATAGTTGTTGCAGAACACATTTCACAGGAAGGGAACACTGAGGTCATATGGGAACAACTTTCCCAAGGTCAGTGGCAGAGACTAGTCTTCTGCTCTAGACCACCTTCGGCTGAAGGAGTTAAAAATGTTGACAGCTGAGAATCAGAGAGACTTAAGATGTGGTGCACTCCCTCTCTGGGAGATAACACTCCCTCTCTGGGGGACACTTGAAACTGTCCCCTGAACTTGAGGAGCAAGTGAGAATACTTCCTGGCTTCTCCCAAGAAGCCTAAAGAGAAGACATTATGGAGACACTATGCACACCCTCTGCATTTATCTCTGGCAACTGTTTCAAGGGGAAAACATGTTTTGTTTTTGTTTTAAAGCCTACAGTATAAGAAAAGAGTTAAGACACCTGAATAAAAGAATCGGAAGACAACATGTTTCTTCACCCTGACCATGGTAAAGTGAAGGTCAGAGAATTGCCAAAGCCTACACAACTTACAGATAGAGCAAATGGGATTTAGATTCATCCAGGCTCCATTGCTTCCTCTGCACCATGCCTGGCCACACCTCCAACCCCCCCCCTCCAGGCTTACCTTTCTGATACTGGAGCCATAGCTGCTGCTGGACCTTCTTGCTGGGAAAGTGGATAACACAGGTGAGCTCGGAGCCATACAGGGCCTCTGCAATGTAGTGGGAGCCATAGTGCTGGATGAAGGACAGCAGCTCATCTCGACTGCTCTCTTTGGTCAGGATCTTTAAGACATTGGTAAAGCCTGGAGGGAGAGGAGCATGTGTGAGTGGTTAGACTTCAGAAGTTGGTGGCCAAAATATTATATCTCAGTAAGGGCACCTCCCAGACAGCAGTCATGGCCTTTGCCTTCATCACCATGGCACCAGGCTGGCATCTCCAGCATTACATGCTTATAGAAAAGGCTTCCTCTCACTGCTAGATACTATGAAAGAGTGGAACTGTGTAGAAGACAAAGACTTGAAACCTACATGATGGTGAGGTTAAGGTAACAATCAGAAAGTTAGAGCCAATGCCTACACACTGAACAGCTAATGCATACAAAGTAGATCACTAGATGTTTTTACTCTGTAATGTTGACCACCATACCCCCATTAACCTGATGAGAAGCCAAAGCTGAAAGACCGTGAGTAACCGTGGCCCTCTGTCTGAAAGAGCTGGATGCAAACACTTCTGTGTTTTACTTCAAGTAAATTGGCTGGAGTCCCAGCGCTACATTTGTCCCAGCTAAGTATAGCTGTCATACCTGCTCAGCATTTGCTACATCGCCTTCCTTTTCCCCTTTGCCCTTATTTCCTGAGACAGTGGACTGTTTTCTGCTGCCATGAGGTTTTCTTGATGCCTGCTGTGCTGTTGCAATACTCTGTTAAGTCTGCCATACTTAGAACAAGGCCATGTCTCAGAGAGCCATTTCTCAGGAGCTTCTGTTCCTGCTTCATTCTCCTTCCTGTTCTTCCAGGGCCTTCCAACAATGGGAGACTGGTTCCACCACCATTCAAGCTATGAACCCAATTCTCTCTACAGCCACCTACTCAGCTTTAGTATGGAAAATTGCTAGGAAAATTTCAGACAGAGTAATGGTACCCCAAAACACACTGCTCTGATTTTCACACTTAGCATGTTTAGAGAATAGCAAATGTAAAAGATTCTTAAATCTACCTTAATTCTTTAATCTGCCTTAAAGGCTGACTCCTCTAGAATAGGTGCATTTGTTGTGAATTCTCTCTCCATATAGCCCATCAACGGCGGGGGGGGGGGGGGGGGGGAAGCTGTATCTGAAACATACTGTAACAGACTTGAGTTGACACTACAAGTAAAGTCTAGACAAATGTACTAGGCTGCTGTCTCATTCAGTCTCCTGGATATCATTTACTCTTCCTCTAAAATTTCCTATGTCCCAAATTCTTAAAGACCCTCTTGTATTCTTGCCTGACACTGGATGAAGTTTCATGACCATATCTGGACCTACAGGAATGCCTGGATTTTCTCTCATTTCCTTCTTTGCATTGACTGGAAACTGGGCTTTCTGCCATCCTTCCTTTATGTGCTCTGCGCTGTTTCCATACATGAAATTGCTCCCTTTCAAGACACACCCATGCTTAAAGATCTCATGAGGTTTCCCCTTTTTTGGAAGCCTTTCTCACCTATTCCTGTGTGGAACACCCATACTCTCTCCCCACAAGCTGAAGAACTGGCATCTTTATAGGTAGAAGCCCTCTCTATGTGTTTCTAAATCCAAAAATGCATCTTTCTGATACCCACCCCCACCAGGCACACTACCAACTCCTGGAACACAGCAAACCACCAGCCATTGTTATTATAAGAACAGCCAATGCCACATCAAAGAGCAAGCACCTCTCCAACACTTAAAACGAGCTCCAATTTGCCAACATTTGATTTACAAGGAGCTTCCAGGAACATCATTACTGATTAATTAAAACAGGTACACCTTTGTAGTTCTAACAGGAACATCACAGTTACATTCACAAGTGCCGGCTGAGGGGGTGGTGGGGAAACAGAAATAGTGCTTAAAGAAAGGGTGCTTGATTAGAACACTCTCTCTCCATCAACCTGTTAACTTATGCAACTGGGTAATTAATACAGCAGGATTAATAATGAGATGGTTTCTGTTAAGTAATAAATGACAATGCCTCAGAGATGCCCTGTGGCTCTTTAGCCAGGCAGACAAAAATGCAATCAAAATCCCTGTTCTGTTTTCTCCTCTAGTGCTTACTAGCTATGTGACCTTGGGTTGGTTATTTAACCTCTTTGACCTTCAGTTCTTTTATATGATGACAGATAGACTAAATTATTACTTTCCTTGTAGGACTGCTGCAAGCCACAAGACATGAAACATTATAACGTGCTTGACAGATGTCAGCAACAATCACTGTTTGTACTTCCCAGAGGGTAAAGTCTGCCCAGCCCCAGGATGAAAGAGCTCCATTTTGCTGATGAACAAAGTGGTACTGAAAAAAGGAATGAAATAGAGAAGAACTCAAGAGATAATTAGGAGACCCACTGACAATAAGCCAGTGACAGTGTTGTCAGAACCAGAATAGAAAAATCCAGCTAGGTCTCCTCTTCTCTGGGACCTTTATTCAATGCCTTATTCTTCCATTTTCACTTCTTTATCTTATTCTTCGATCAAACATGGACACAAAAAATATACTGATTCTCTGTCAGTTTCTGAAGATATCAGCAGAATAAACAGATTCCATGGCCTGTCCCCAGTTCTCTCTGGTCAGAGGGAGACCGGACATGATTCAGACATGAATCAAGTACTTGTTAGTACTTTGCTGGAGGTATTCAAACACCTGAAATTCCTTGCATTGTTCATTGAAGAATGGAGAGTGGAGGAGGCAGCAAAGAGTTTAGTGTGTGCAACCCAGGCAGGGAGAGCTAGGCAGAAGGTACAGCAAGTGCAAGGTGATGAACATGTCCCGTCTCAAAAACTACAAACCACCCTCCCTGCTCTAGCTCAGAGCTCACATGGGTAAAGAATGGGTGATGAATATATATATGGTGGTGAAGAGTGGGACTCCATGCTATTGCTGTGTAGAAATGGGCAAGGAAAGAAATAAAGACAGAACTGAGGAGATAAAGTGCAGTTACAAGCCAGAAATACTTCCAGAACACAAACAATGTTTAGGTTACTGTTACTTCTCTTCCCTTTATACTTCAGTCTACTTAGACTTTTCCTTTAGGAAGATCCTTCTGTGTCATACTGTCCCATTATTGTGCTCCTCCAAGGGCAGGGTGGTTATGTCACTGCCTGCTATGCTCTCCTACCTAGGTGCTCCTCCATTCTCTCAGCATCATCAGTACCAGGAGGGCTTAGGACATCCTAAGCCCTTGAGACCATGTGTGGAGTGACCATAAGTCCTTTGGTCGCCAGCTGGACAGTGGTCCTCACCTGCTGAGAGGGTGATGGTGCTCAGTTTCACACGGTAGAGGTTGCTCCTGACACGCCACTGCTGCACCATGGGGTAACCCATGGCCTCGTCATACCTGATGTCTCCTAGAAGGAGAAATAAGATGCCTATGTGAGCTCAGAGTTCAGAATACTTACCACAATGCACACTCTGCTTACCTCTTCAAAGTCAGAAGAAGCTTGGTCTTGGCCCTGACTGTTGCTTTGTTACAACCAATCAGTTTATCTCTTCTCAACCACCATGCTCTTTAGCCATAGCTCTATGTTTTCTTGGGCTTTCAATATCCCTCTACCTTACATGCAAAAGATCAAATTTATATCCCACCTAACTAAGTCCATTTGCAATTTACCGTGGACATTAGACATCTCATTGTCTGAGATTTCCCACCTGACATTGCAGCTCTCTGTGCTTATCCTATCTCACAGGCATAATGTGAGACTTGAATATGGTAACAGAAGTGAAAGCTATTTTAGAGACTAGAAATTCTATGCCTGTAGGAGCAGGGTCAGGGGAACATTTTTTTTTCAGCCCATTTGTTTCCCAGTCTTTGCAGCTGATTTTGCACTAAATAGCAGAGCTGAAGAGTTACAGCAGAGACCACTTGAAAAAATCCTTATGCATGTATTACTCATTCCTTTATGTTTTCTGACTTTGGTGTAGACCATTTGTTGTTAATGTGGATGCTTATAAGCACTATGTGGCAAACATATGTATACCTACATAAGTTGTCCTAATTCAAATAAATGAGAAACACTGGCTAAACAAACTGAACATTTAATTTTCAGCATATTACAAAAATTAAAATACACTACAGGTCTCTGTGAAGGTGTTCCTGCTCATGGAGCCTCTTTTATATAGAGGGATCATTAAGATGCATGTTCCACAGAATGCATTTCAGAAATCACAGGTATTGTAGAGATAAAACATAAACAAAGAAGAAACACAACAAACATGTCGGCAAGCAGTTAACACTGGGGAGCAGACACATGAAAAAAATTCCTGCATCTATCTCCATTTTCTAAAATTTCCACCTAAAGCTTTGCATTCTCTCTTTTTTATAATCATGAAAAATGCATTAAAAAGAAATGCTAGTCACGTTAGCAGTTATTATTGTTGTTATGTATCCGTGCTTTCTTGCACCTCTGCAAATAGCAGGCACATTTCCTATCCCTTTCTCTTGTCCCCTGGTGAGGAGGCACTTAAAGAGATATTTGATACGGATATTAAAATGAGAATCTCATTGGAACAAATGATTTCTTCCTGGACATTTCTGTAGTATTAAAGTTGTCCATTACTGTCAACTGTTTTTTTTTCCCTCCCTCTTTAGCCTTTTCAGGAATAATATAATTTTAGAGGCTTTCATTTTCAAGTAAAATATTCATGATCCCCTAAGATATGTCCATTCTAGTGAAAATGTTTAGTTATAAATATGCCCTCTCTGTTTATCTTCTCTGTCTTGCTTCTGTTCTCCGTGTGATGTTGGGGAGGGAAGAGAAGTGGAATGGAGGAAAGAAACAGAAGACTGCTCCTGAGCTAGGGCTGAGAAGTTAGTCTACTCCAGGAGTCCTGGACATCAAAGTCCAGGTAGAGTCTGCTCCCTGTCACATCTACTACTGCCTAGCCACGATCACAGATACTGGTTCCAGGGAAGGGGGTGATCAACAATTGAACTCCACCTCTGGAAGAAGAAAGCTAGACATTCTTATGTGGGCTGTTGAAGGACCCTATCCTTCTGTGGCATAGTATTCAAAGCGGGGAGGTACCTTCTGCTTATCAAGCAATTTATAAAATCATCTTCACTGCTCTCGTTCTTTACCTTGGCCTCCCCTAAGTAGCTGTTTTCTCATCCTTCACTAACTGTTGTCCCTGGCTTAGTTTGGATTCACACTAGGAATACAAGCTTCTGCCATGGCTGTGTTATTTGTAGTTGTCCTCCAGATTCCTGATTGGATCTCAGCATTCAGTTGGATCTTTACAATTTCCTAACCCGAGTGCTTTCTCTTCATTCTTGATCATGAAACTACCCCCTAGTTCACACTTTAGTCACCATCATAGATTCATTTGTCTCGGTAATTCTATTTTAAAAGATTTATTTTTATTTTATATGTGTGGATATTTTGCCTGCATGTATGTCTGTGCACCATGTGTGTGTGCAGTGCCTGTGAATGCTGTAAGAGAATGTTGGGTCCCCTGAAACTAGAGTTAAAGATGGTTGTGAATCGTTATGTAAGGTGCTGGAAAGCAAACCTGGGTCATCTGCAAGAGCAGCCAGTGCTTTCTCACTACTAAGTTACTATGCCAGCCTCTGGTAGTTAAAAAAAAAATCCCTTGAATTGTAGCAATTCATTTATTAGAAAATTTTCTTTATTACGAAACTTTCAAATGTCCCTGAACCAATACATATAGTTAAAATAATCTGAGAAATTTCTGGAGAACCATAGTAAACCAAACCTCTTATACACATGATCTTTATTTCTTACCATAATTTTGAAAAAATAATGGTTATATCTATCTTGCAAAAATGGAAGCTGCCCAAGGAAACACAACACTCAAATTGCCTCCAAGTAGAGAAAATCTGGATTCAAGAATCCACCAATTTAATTCTAGAAAGATTTTTTAAGTGAACAAAGAAAACAGAATACTGGAAGCATTGAAATATTAGAAAAAATGTCACTTTAATGAAAAGTAGTTTGATACTCGGACCCAGGCAAAACCTCACTGGGGAAGGCTGGAACATTGTTCTTGTTCTCATGGAAATGCCTCTCAAGAAGAAGGTCCTGGTTAAGAAACTGGGGTCTCTTTAAGGCCCCCATTCTACATGGGCTCCTGGAAGGAGCCCAAGACAAGGCAAAGCCTCACTCTCAGACTTCCCTTCTTGAAGGAGGAATCCTAACATGTTCTTGTAGCTCACACAGCTGATATGGCCATGGTCAGTGAGTCTGCAGAGACCTGACAGCTGTGTCTTACCAGTCAGCAGCTGAAGGTCTGGGAGGGGCTCAGACAGAACCCCTCGGCACTGCTCTTCCACAGGTAGCGGGATCACCAACAGCCCATCTGCCAGCTGGGGAAAGTCCTTGATGAAGTTGTTCTCCCTGTGGGGCAGAGTAAAAAGATTACAGAGCAGAGGAAGGGAACATCATAATTGTGGGGCAAGGAGGCAGGAAGCTTATGTGGTTGGAACAGGCTGGGTGGCTTTGCTGAGATGCCTCCTGAATCCCAGCTCTGAGAGCATAGCACTGAGCACAGGGTGAGGGTTGCAAGCAGGTTGGGCATCAAAGTCTGGTGCACCCACGGACTGGACTAGTTACTTACTGTTTCTCTTGTAACCAACTTTCTCTTTCTATAAATGAACCTTAGATCTCAGGGCTGCTGTAAACACTTAATGGGATCAAGCTGCCAATTGTTTAACACATCCTCTGAGGCTCTACAAACTATATATCTGGCTGTTAACTATCCCTTTGCATAAGCAATGGCATGGGTAAAGCTGGATGTGAGGGAACTGAGCATAGCACAAAGTGTTTGAACTAGGGAGCAAGGCTAAGCTAAAGAAAGGTCAGCATGTGTGTTAAGGTAGAAGGAACTCTAGAAATACGGTGGCTCAGACAAATGGGGAAAACTGAGGCCCAGAGAAACAGAATGTCTTGCTTAGCAACAACCAATAGACTGGACACAAACCCGGGTCTCTTTACTCTCAGAGTTGTGCTCTTTGCCCTGATCTAACTTCATAGAGAAGAGGCATGCATGCAACGGATCACAAGACAAAACCCATGTGATCCTAGAAAACTGAATCCTTCATAGACATTGTTTAAGAGGACAGTGGTGGCAGAGAGTGCATAAAAAGGACACAGAGCTCATTATTCTGTACAGTAGAATGGACTAAAAATGGAACAGTCAGCCATGAGAGATGGAAAGCTTGTTTATACAAGGAGTATACAAGGAGTGTGCAAGTAGAAAACGTAGCAGTCAGTTGGCGAGCAGGGTACCAAGGGCATTTCCCTATTTAACCTTACTTGTGAGATCACTTCATGGTCAGAAACCCTCAAAGGTAGCCACAACAGTTATAATCTGGATGGGAGGAAGGGAGGGAGGGAAATAACAAAAGCAGGAGGAGGCATATGCCTTCACTTTGCCATCTGGCACTGGCATCCTTGAAATGAAAATCAGAGACAAAACCAAAAATACAGGATGCCAAACCAATACCTTTGAAGCCTGGACTTCAGACACTTCAGAAGCAGCTGAGAAACTTTAAGCTGGGTTACCTTATGGTCTTCACTGCATATGCCCACATCATTCCCTAGACACTTTCAAAGTCTGTCACCAATCCATTTGTTTAGTGAAAATGTTCCCTAGGGCTGGGTCTAAAGGTGATGTTATCACCACCTTCAACATCTCCACATCACCATCATCTTCCCCATCACTCTCATTGCCATCTCTGTTATTCATTGCATCCTTAAGTTGTTAGGCTCTAGCAGAGTACTTTACATATGCCTTAATATTTAATATTGAGCTAGTATTATGTGTAAATCACAGATAAGCTTACAAGACTAGAATTTAAAGCCAAGTCTAGCAGACTGTGGGCTTCTGTTCAGGGGCTACATGTACACTATGATGAGCTTCTGAGCTACTCTTGCTATGTAGCACAGTATTTTGTGTTTGCCCCATGTCAATCAGTGGAGCCACATAGTCTACAGAGTTGGGAGCCTGGAACCGCACTGGGAAGAGAGAAGACAGTGTTCCAGGCAGTGGAAATACTACACACATGGTAAGACCAGTGAGGTGGTTGCTGGGCTACAGATCCTCAGATGTGCAGTAAAATGGAAGGGTGCTCCAGGCTGCAATCAGCAACTACCAAACCCTGGTTACAGAGCCCTGGGTTGAGTAGTATGGACAGAAAGACTGACTTTGCCCTTTGTTCCCTAGTCTTTCCAATCTGGTGAGGAAGATAGACATTGGCCAAACTGTACAGCTGGTGAGCTTATTGTCAGGCATTCTGGTTGCACTGTAAGAACTCCTTGCTCATGTGACCGACAAGCACTTGCTTTATAGGTAGGAGAAATTAATTTTCATGAGATATTGATGGCCCTGAGCCCTGGGCTCCGGGTCTCCCCACATGACATCCTATGTGAGTAATCAGGGGCAAAGCTCATAGTCCTCAGTTTTCTCATCTATAAAGTGAGGCTCATAGACATTTCCCAGCCTGCTGTAGTGGAAGAGTGGAAATGACTTTATTTAGCACTTACTGTATGTCAGGTATTGTGGTAAGTGCTTCACCTACCTGTATGAAGTAGGTAATGTTAAAATATCCAGCGTAGAGATGAAAACGTTAATTTAAAAGAACCTTTACAAGTCAAGGCCATGCAATTGGGTAAGTGTGAGGTCTTGGTAGTCTGGTCCCAGAGTCCATAATTCTCATCTCAGTAAATGTGATTGTTGAAAGTCCTGCCCCAAGATACACAGACTAAAGTCTTCTCATAAGGGCCTCAATGCCTATGAGTTCCCAGAGCCCAAGCAGGCCACAGCTGAGAGAAGGGGTATGACATCTTGCAATCTGACTTTACAGGGGCTCTGTTCTCACTGGGACCTCAGCAGTCCTCACCATGAGGTGAGCACAATCACGTTATTCTAAGTGAACAACAGGAAGAAGGTGGCTGGCTCTACCAGATGTGAAGTGCCCTCCAGGGATGTTCAGTCTGAGCACATTTGGTAACCAGGCCATGAAGGGAGATCTTCTTTACCAGCTTAGGGTGGGGGGTTTTCTCTATATCCATCAACTTCTGTGTATGTTTTTTAAAACTGTGGAAGGAAGTCACACCCATTAGTGCCCCTCATACTCCTACTCTAATGCCTATGCTTTCTGGACAAGTCAGTCCTAGGATCTTAGGGACATCTGACATCAATGGACAATTGAAAGATGTATGTGGGTAACTCCAAGTGGCAGGAAACATGGCCTAAGGTGCCTCTTCTTGCATATTTCTCTCTGAGTTTCCAGAAAAGGATCTGCAGAGAGTAACTCGACGAAGCTCATGTGGGAGGAGAGGGAGGAGAGAGGGAGTTGCATTGTCACATAAAGCTGAGAGGGAGGTACACAGGCAAGGATGAAGCAACAGGACAACCACTACATCTTTTCTAGATGGCTGGCTGGGCAATGACCACAGTCCTGCAGCACCTCCGCCAGCAGAGGGCGCCCAGGGCCTTCACATCAGTCTGCTCTTGGAAGAGGCAAAATGAAGACTGGGGGAAGAAACAGCCCAGGGAAAGTTCTCCTTAGCAGAACAAAAAACCCCTCAGGTGAAAGCAGAGAGAACTAGAAAGTCCCATGCTGAGGAAAAGACCTAGAGGTGGCATGTGCTGGCTCAACATATGACAATCAAAACCAATTCTGTTCCTTCTGTCTTGTGATTTTTCTCTCTAAGTCTCCCCTCACCCCCACCCCACCCCTGTGTGTGTGTGTGTGTGTGTGTGTGTGTGTGTGTGTGTGTTGTTTTAGCTTTAAGCTTTACAAAAACCCTGTCACCATAAATCCCATTTTATAGATGATGAAATAGGCACTCAGAAAAGTTAAGAAACTTGTCTGAATGAGGTCCAAAGTTGGGAATTCCAGTAGTGGCAGCTCATGCATACCCCTCTGGCTGTAGCCTGTGCTCAGTGAGTTTGTGCTCAACTGAGTACTCACATTCAGGGCTGAGTACTCACAGCCAGGATGTGGTCTGCTTTCTTGACCATGGACTAAATCACAGGAAGCACTCATGAGCACACCCACTACAGAGTATTTTTTCATGCATGTGGGTTTGTGTTGGGCAGCGTGTGTGCATGTGAACAGATCGTGTTAAGTAAATATTGTTATTTCAAGTTTGTAACAGGGTCACTGTTAAGACAAATGTCTCCAAACTACATCCATGTGAAACTTAAATCTCAATGATATTATATGGAGATAACTCAGCAACTTTCATAGTATGACCTGGGAACACTGACATTGAGTGGGTATCATTCACTCTGCAAATCAGCATGAATTCAGCACAAGTTGAGCCAAGGCAACAGCAGAAGGTGAGCACCAGATACTCCTTCACTGGAGAAGACCAAGAAAGAATAAGGATACAGTGTTATAGTCTAGAGGCTCCCACACAACCCTGCCCCTGCAGACTCCTGCTGCTCACTTGGGACTGCCATTGCCAGGCTGCACTCACTGTCCTCTCCTGAGACAGGGCCCCAATCTACAGTCCCCAGTTGGATGTGTCCTCTTTCTGGAAGGATGGTCTTTTTCTCTGCACCTGGGCTATTCCTGTTCACTACTCAGACCACACAATAGGTCACTGCTTTTAGGATAGTGCCTCAGATTAAATCTGTCACCCACCTGTGGGACCTTGCTCATTTCTTCCAAAAAGAGCTTTACGGTTTGTAACCACAGATCCACTCATTCAAGACCCATGTTTCTCACTGGACTCAGGCTCTTTGTGGCCCTAAGCAATGCACTGAGGACCCTTGAGGGCCAAACTGTAAGACTGAGTAGGGATGAGTATAGATGCTTGGTGAGTAATTATTGACAGCATGATGGGCAAACAAAAGATGGCAGCATATGCACAGTACTAACTTTGGATAGCTGTTTCTCTATTTTGCTCTAACTCCAGGATGATTCCTAACCAGAGGCTTGTTAAAGTTGAGTCTAGTTTTTCTATAAAATGATTCCAAATACTTTGTTAGGCTGATTAAATGGTTAGAACTTCATGATTTGTGGAGAGTCTGGATGTTAGGACATAGAGCTCAATTGTATTGGGCTATTTTTATTCACTTCAAGAGCAATTCATTGCCCACTTGTGTCTTATCTAATGTTTTGGTGACTATCAGGTCAAACCGGCTGCAATACATTAACTAAGTTGGTTATTGGCTTTCACCAATCCAAAAGCTAAGAGCCTCATCAGATCTGAGGCTACAGCAGCATATGCAGAGTACTAACTTTGAATACTACAGCAGAAATTCCCTCCATGTTATTGTAGCCTGCCTGCATGATGTTTCCACCAAAGCATTTGAATAAATGCCTTGATTTATGATCTTTTGCTTTAGAAGTACAAAAACTTCATGAGATCATCTCTATGTT